TTGTGGAACTCCCTTCCAAGGCCCATGCTTTCCAGTCAACTTTAATCTGCAAAAATTTAAATGCAATGTCAATCACTATCTACTGTGCTCCTGATTGCTCTTTTCTCTTCATGCTCATTATTAATGTTTCTGTTCCTAATTCTTCCACATCCTGTAACCCCTTGTGCCTTAGTGGCTGTACTGCCTTGCTTGGGGTGAAACTGATTAAAAAAAGGAACAAGGAAGCCTTAAAGAAAATGGCAACAAAAATAGCACTATCTACTCTCCTCCTGATTATTCTTTTCCCTTCCCACTCATTATTAATATTTCTGTTCCTAATTCTTTCCCACTCTGTAACTCTTTTGTGTCTTAGTAGCTTTATTGCCTTGCATATGGTGATACTGATTATTTATATATATATATATATATATATATATATATAAATAAAAAGAAAGAACAGTAAGATATATAATCCGGTGTTCTTATAGATATTTTTATTTTTACAAAATAGTGCTCAATGTAAATTTACAGAGCATTAATATTATAAATTAATTGATTTAAAATATGTTTTTTTTTCACTACACAGTTCTAACCATGTTTCAAAAATGGAAGCTAAAAGCCTTGAATTTAATTTTGTGATTAAATTAAAGACATTAGTTCCATTTCATCCTCAAGGGAATTTTGGATTAACTTTTAAAAGTACTGGATTTTAAATACACAGCTAAAACAAAATTCATGTTTCCAAGGTTACAGATAAATCTATTTTTCTAGACAGGGGTGTCTAGGTGTTCAATATGTCTATATTTTAATGTATCAGTTATTGCTACGTTTTGGTAGTGGGTAGGGATGTATTTTCAATGAAATCTAACATCCGTTAAAAAAGGATATATATATATATATATATATATATATATATATATATATATATATATATATATATATAGATAGATAGATAGATAGATAGATAACAGAGCAATTATATATAAAATTGTGTGTAGTTTCATTGTTTTAGCTTTTTTATTTTAGCCACAAGAACATTGACTTATTGGTTTGAAAGCAAAGGATATTTGAAAATTGCTTGAACAAGTGAACACATCAGTTGCCATGAAAAATTTTACTGAAAATATTTATATACATATTAAAATGGCCTGTAAATATCAGTATTCCTGCAGATTTCTTGCAATAATTTCTTAAAAATTCTCCCTCTTCTTCCTTCAATGAAATCCAAATCAATTTATTTCCAAACTTGTCATGTGCATCCTTGTGAAGAATTTCTTTTGCGCACAGATGACTTGTGCCCATCAATAAATCTCTTTTATTTTATATAAATTCTCTTCTTGATAGATGTCACTGTCCTTTAATGAATTAGCAGTGAAATTGTTTGAAGCATTAAAAATAATCATTATTTGTTTTCTTGAAGAAAACCAATTGGGGAGAAATGAGAAAAAAGAAAAGAAAGTTATTACTGAACTCTAAAACAAATATGGCATAGAGAATTGCAAAGGAAGGTGGGTGGCATAAGGACAAAAGATTTATTCTGTGTTTAATCATTGAAACTTTTATAGAAGAAGTAGTTAGACACCCAAAATGTATGATGTGGGGTAAGGTATCACTGGAAGCTATATTTTTGATTTTTGATTTCATTCTCATGGTTAAAGTGCATATCAACCCAAAAATGTAAATAAAATGTAATATAAAAATAAAGCAAATTCATATTTATAAAATTCACTATAAGTTGAAATAATATTTCCTATCATGTCTTCAAATTCTTGGATCAATTGGTGAAACAACTGGTTGTCACTGTCAAAAATAATCAATGACAATGTTGTGATGAATGCTAAGTCTTGTACTATTCCTGTACACAAACATAATACAGTAAATTTTTTTATGCAAATAAATTATTTTATTATTTTTGTATTTGAAACTAGATGAATGTGTGGGCAGCTTAAATATTATTGGGCTAAAGTTGATAAAAAAATTCACTTTTTTACACTAATTTCTTTGGAAAAGGTATGAATCCATATCTTCTGTCAGCTATGGATTAAACAGCAGATAAAACTAGGTTCTCTATTCTTGGGTGGCAACCAATCTAGGAGAAAGACTGTGAAGAAATCATGGCAATTCAAGAATAATAAAAACAAGGAATTTGCATTCTGAATGAATACAGTAGAGAAAATAAGTATTTCATCCCCTGCTGATTTTCTGAGTTTGCCACCTTACAAAAATAGGAATGGTCTATAATTTTCAGGGTTGGTCGATCTTGAAAGTGAGAGATAGAATATAAAAAAATTCTAGAAAATCATATTATATGAAAAGAAGGAAAGTGCAGACTTTCTTACATCAAATTTCATATTGATCAGCAAATACTGGAAATACCATTTACTGTAAAACCCTCTATATTTTGTATTGTTGTTGATAAATGTAGTCACAGTGCTTCAGTCTATAATTTGTATCTTTTGTCTTTTTACTCATGTTAAATTAAAGAATTGCTTTTTGTGTGCAATTTTTTTTTTTTTAATGATTACTCACAGGTAAGAAAAATTTTTGAAAATTAAGACAAAAATTGTTTTTATAATTCTGGGAATTATTCAAACAAATATCTTGTACTTTATTTGTTTTCATCTTTTATTCTTTTTTTCATATTGTGTCCCTTCAGGATGTGGGCAATCATGGCTCTTCACAGCTTCCTAAGCTTTGTAGCTCGCAGTAATGTCTGTCTCCTTATTATCGTTCACCCTCCTTTTACACAAGCTCATTAAGGAGGTTACTTGCAGTTTCCCTCTGCTCTTCCTTCCATCAGTATGTCCTGTGTGTGTCAAATTCTTCAAGCCTTCTTTCGTTATTCTGTTTTAATCATTATTTATTATACACTGATTTATGTAGTGGAATCAAATATTGATCAAATATAGATTGGAATCTGACAGAATGATAGGATAAGAAGTAAATAGGAAATGTTTATCTCAAGTACTTTATAAGTGATATTGGGATGACCTTCTCAGCAATGCAGTTGAGTAGGAAATTTTTTCTGTTTCTCAGGGAGTAACATGATAATAGGAATTTTTTGTATAGATAGATTGAATATTGGTGCCTTCAATTAGTTTCCATGTTTGGACAATATGAAATGGGATTGAATATAGATTGGAATTGTCTGTGAATTGAGCTTGCTAATAATCTGTCAACAGAAGATACTTGTGTCACCTCTGTATCTTATAATATATGCAGATGGCATAGAAAGAAAGAAAACTGCAGGAAATCTTATGCAAAATTAGTAAAAGAAAGTAGGAAGAAAGGACAAACCATCAAGACAGTGTATGGCTTTCAGTAAGGTATTGGTTACAAATCAAAGCTGAAAATACCAAACAAGTAGAGGAATTTAACACTTTGGGATTGTTTTAATAGATGATGAAAAATGTAAAACTGAAATCTGAAGGTGCCTTGAAATAGATGCCTTCCAAAAACTAAAAAAAATATTAAGAAATTGGAAAATTCCAGTAGAAACAAAAAAAAGAATATTGATATATCATATCAATCTTCCTATATGAGAGTGAACGCCTTACAATTTCCTCAGTCATGAAAAGGAGACTTTCAGTAACAGAAATATGATTCTACTGAGAATAAATGAGACAGAACATGTAAGCAATGTGGAAATTTACAAGAAAATGAAAACAAAAAAAGGACATTTTTACTAAGTTGTCAGGAAGAGAAAGTTGAAATTTTTGGAACACACAATGAGAGTTTAGGGAATTTGAAATTGACAGGACATATTGAAGGCAGTGGACAAGAGCTAGCAAATAACATACCTAAAGAGCTTGTGTAAATCAATGGTTCAACAGAGATTGGGGCTTATAGTAAGAGGACGAACATTGCTCAAAGCTAGAAAGGATAGGAATTTGTGCAGAGCCATGATTGTGCAACAAGTGCTGGAGTGATATGGCATATAAAAGAAGACATGGCATTACGTAGATGGCATTATGTACAGATTCAAATATTTAAGGTAGCTGTAAATATGATAATAGATTTATATTTCATTAACCAATAGATATCAGTGTAGAAAATGGCACTGGCAGATGAGGTTTAATTCCAGCCTAGTCTATTGTGTTCATTTTCACAATAATAACCTTGGAAAAGGTATGAAAATATCTCCTCTTCCATCATTATCATCAACAGTTCCATGACCAGGTGTGGTCATAGGGTGGTCATAGTGTCATAGGTGTGGTCATAGGTGTGGTCATAGGTGTGGTCATAGAGTAACTATGTAGATGAGCACCCGACCAGTTCCCTTTGTTGCATGCCAATAGCTAAATGTAAGAATGATTTTCTACTCCACTCACTGATGTTATCAGCCCCTTTTCTTCCTCTGTTTGTCTCTTATTCTTTTGCCTAAAGCTGAACATTTCAGGATGGCAGTCCAAAAATTATTGGCTCTTATGTGGCTCTATCAATTCAACTTTCTCTCCTTCAGAGTAATAAGAGAAAGGTCAGCCAATGTCCCTGTTTCTTGTTGGATGGTGTCTTGGTCTGCATCATTTTTAATGCAAGCTATATAAGAGATGCTGAGGATGGTTCTGGAGCATTTAATTTCTAATGTTTGGATTCTTCAGTGTAATTCTACTGTTAGTCCAAAATTTGCAAGTATACAGAAAGTTTGAGAAGGCCAATGCACACCGCAGTCTGATCTTTGATTTCAGACTGATGTTCTATTGTTCCAGATGGTTTTTAGTTTTGTGACAGTGTTTTGTGCTGATCCTGTAAATATTTCTATTCTCCCATCATCTATGGATTAAATAGCATAATAGACTAGGTTCTTTAAACTTCAGTAGTAACCAATCTAGGAGAAGGAAAATTCTGTATACCAAACCATGAATACCAAAGAATGCAAACCATTCCTCTATTTTTTCCATGAATTCATTGCAAAGGAATCTCTGGAAGGCCATGATCACCTTCATACTGCTGAAAATTTAAGAAAAAAAATGTTGACAAAAAAATAAATGAACAGATACTCGGAAAAAAACATCACTCATATGATCTATCTATCTGGTTGTCTCATTCTGCCCATATTTATCTAAAACAGCAGTTCTCAACCATTTTTGCCCAATGCACCCTTTTCTTCATATGTCAGAATATCACCCACTATTTTTCAAGATTGTCGAACTGAAGAGGCGCATTCCAAATAATATGCAAACATTATTGAAAATCTTCATTCTTTTCCCTATCAGTGAATATACATTTACATGGATTATTTATATAGAGGATTTTTTTGCACTAATGATTGGCTCAAAATCCTGTAAATAAAAGAAAAAGTAAAAGTTTTTGCCATATTCTTCTAAAACCCTGAAATTCCCACTTTGTTAAGAACCCTTGATCTTTATCATACCATCTCTGTATATACATATCTCCCCTCCTTCTCTATATATATGTCTGTTTGTCTATCACTCTATGTAGTTATCTATCTAATTATATTAGTCTTTCCAATCTATCTATCTATCTATCTATCTATCTATCTATCTATCTATCTATCTCATTTGGTCATTTCTATCTATCTATCTATCTATCTATCTATCTATCTATCTATCGTTTTATCTTTCGCTCTTTCCCATTTGTTCATTTCTATCTATCTATCTATCTATCTATCTATCTATCTATCTATCTATCTATCTATCTTTTTATCTTTCGCTCTTTCACATTTGTCTATCTATCTATCTATCTATCTATCTATCTATCTATCTATCTATCTATCTATCTATCTATCTATCAGTTTCACTCTGCTCATATCTATCTACCAATCAATCATTCCTTTCTAGCATATCTGCTGTTTTCTATCTCAAGCTGTTTACTTCAGTATGTCCATCTCTATTTATCTATTTCAAGATTTTGACCTCAGTATCTATCTATTTATCTATCTATCTATCTATCTTAAGCTGTTCACCTGCTCACATCAGTCTGTCAATATCTATTTAACTATCACAAGCTGTTCTCAGTCTGTCCATATCTATCTATCTATCTATCTATCTATCTATCTAAAGCTGTTCACCTATTCACCTCAGTCTGTCAATATGTATTTAACTATCACAAGCTGTTCTCAATCTATCTATCTATCTATCTATCTATCTATCTATCTATCTATCTATCAGCTACTGTTCATAAACACAAAAGATCTAACTGAATTTTTTTAAAAGAAATCTTTCAGCTGAAACCACTTCAATTAATTTTTGATAAGCATAACTTTATTTAAAGTTTTTTTTCACAGGAATTGATAAAATTAAATCTATATTACATTTGCATTTTCGAGCCTCCTTTATGAAATATTATTCATACGGATTGCATTTTATTCTGACTTTTGAATATTAATTGAAAATTAGTATCTGTTTCTTATTCAACAATCTTCTGTCCTTGTACATAGTTCATTATTTTATCTCAAGTTCAAACTTGTTAATTATATTCTCTGATGTTGTACGTAATATATTATCAATGTTTTCATGTTGTATATTGCACTTCTTCTGCTATTACCTGCCAAAGATTCTCACTTGAGAAGTGCTCTTAAAGTTCAAAACATTTTTCTCTTTGATGTAATACTTGGTTTCGAGGTAAATGCTTTCAGCAAAATCAATTCAATCAAAAGACCTTAGGGTTAATTTTCAGTCATAACATAATGATGAGAAAAACAGACAACAAACTTGATCATCTTTATTGTTATTATTACTGAGTAAGAGAACAGTACATCAATGACTTGACACTGTGGTACTGTCTACCTGGATTTTAGGTGGAAAAATAAAATCCAAATGTCATGTCCACAAATTACAACACAAAATAATAAACAATACAAACAAATGATCTTTGCAGAAAAGGGGGAAGACTTAGTTTAATATGACAATAACATTTATACAGTAGATACATGTATTTACATATTAGAATTCAGTTATCCTTTTGTGACCATGAAGTAACCAATAGTTTGAGTGTTCAAAGTGAATTGTTGCAAGTGAATCTGCAAATTTCGAACCATGTGTGTGACTGCTGAGTGGTTGTGTGCTCTAGTGATTTCAAAACAGGGAACTGTTGTAGCATACCTACAGACACTAATGGGCATGTCTCTATTCACATAAATACAGTAGTAAATACTGTATGTTGGTCTGTGGTTGGAGATTCATTGTGGAATTCACTTGACTCACTTCTAGCAGTTGACTACTTCTTCTACGCACCGCTGGCAAATCTTATAGGTGTTGTTCTTGTCCTAAGTATTATCATTCATTACCAACCTTCATTTCATTGTTCTATTCAGTAACATTTCATAGGTTACAACATGAACAATGAAGAGGGGATCCAGAATTTAATTTCATTGTGGCTTTGTATGTAAAAAGATCATCACTGACTTATATGTTGCCACGGTAACATGTGTCATGGCTGGACCTTTTTTTTTCTGTTTTTTTTTTTTTTTACAGATTTATCCTCACTGTTGCTGGCAAGCTGTTTTTATGGCTTATGATGAGTCGGTGATCAGCTCACAAATTCTATCCAAGTTTTGTCCAGGGAATGTACTCAGTAACCCAAGCCATGAACTATTTCTAGGTCATTTGGCGTTCAACCATGCAGATGTTGTAGAGATCACATTGCATGATTTGTCATATCCAATCAGGTTTTGGAGCCAGGTTTTGGAGCCAGGTTTTTACAGAATTGCAAAATTGTTTTTTTACCTACTGAATTTACTGAGATTTATTTGAAGGCATTTCTGACTTGTTTGTGCTTCACTTATTGGCTGTAAAATATAGGAGTTTATATCCTATAGTACAAATACCTGCAGTCCAATATACTCATATTACACCCAGTCAAATAAGGCTATACAGTGAAATATGTCTGATATGTTGACAGGTTTTGATAAAAGCAGTGTATAATCTAGCAGGTAGTACCCAATTAAAAATACCTTCAGCTTCAGTAACAGTCCATTCAGATAGTAACCAAGTCCAACTTGAAGACTGAGTTATTATTATTATAATTATTATCTTCTTTAGCTTTCTGTCCAGTACAATCCCTTACTGGGTCATTACTTGAGTTCTAGGGTTAGGTAAGGTAGTAAATATATGCATTGTCTTTGTAAAAAATCTAATGTTAAATGATACTTAATATGTACATTGTCTATATTTTCTTTACATTGATAGTACTCTCCCGAGTAGATGAGCAGTTCTATACAGTGCAATATTTTGAAACATATATCTTGTAAACATGGTCTGCCAGGGATCTTGTTAATGTCCTTGTTTGTAACTTTTTTTGATTGTAACTAAGTCTCCAGTTCTTATAGATATAACAATAGTTTTAAGGTGCCATATTTTTTTTTAAATTTTAAGAACCTTAAATTTACATAATTCTTTAACAGATATATTCTTTAGTTGATCTCACTGTCATTTCTGTGAAATGTCATTTTTTTTTGCTAGTAGTCTTTAATCCCTATGTCTGATTTATTAACATTTATATGTCTACTAGTATGAACAGTAAAGTGCAATGAATAACAGACACTGTTACTTCTTCTCATTATCATATTATATTTCTGGTTGGGAGGCACAGTGGACTAATGGATAGTGGCTCAGATTGAGGAATTGGAGAGCCGAGTTTCAATTCCACTCGAATCCATTACATTCACTTATGTGCTAATACCCTTGGAAAAGGTATGAATTCTCTTCTCTCCCCACCAGCTATGGGTAAATAGCTAAACAAACCGGGTTCTATAGCCTTAGATGGCAACTGGTTTACCACAGAAAGAAATGGCAACCTACTGCAGGAAAAAAATCTGCCTCATCAATCATGTATCGAGAGATACATAATAGCCTAAGTGTGTATCACGCATGAAAGATAACTGACTGATTTCTGATTGATCCTTCATTCCTTAGTTAGCAAGTATGTTATGCCATGGCAATACATCCCAAATAATGGACTGTTCTGATTGATAATGATGAAATATGGAAAAGACATATTAGTGATGTTGTTTGCACAGTAAAAGAATGAAAGAAAGAAAATAGTTTAAGCAATAATACTCCTATGTTACATTGATAATACTCTCCAGAATAAATAAGCAGTTCCTCATGATGCAATTTATGATTATGATTAATTAACTTTACTAAAAAAAAAAAAAACGATGTTAATGGGTGCTCCTTAAGCCTATGAATAGGTAATGATATTCTCAGCCATTCACTTTCCTCTCTTACAACTCTGGCTATAAGATGTAGTTGCTCGCAGTAAAAAAAAAGTGTCCCCCATTGGAGCATGTTCACTTCACTTTCAATGTATTACTTTTATCTTGGACTTTTCATATTCTTTTGTTTAATTACTTTTTTCTCTTATTGTCATTGTATACTTTTGTTAATACATATATTGTTCTTTGTTTTATATACTGTTTTGTGTTAATCATTTATTAATCAGACTCATATTTGAGTCTACAATAATTGCTATGGTAAAAATATTTAAGGAGACAATAAACACAACTAGCATTCCTGCAACAATATATAAAATTCTGTGACATCTGTTAGTCTATCCATCACACCATCTAAAATAGCCATGCATTCAGCAATCAAAAGCAAATTTTTGGGAGAAGTGCAAACATGTAGTGGGGTACAAAGTACAGTTGGTTTTACTAGAGTGCATAGTTTATTACAATAAATTTTTATTAGTTTTATTATTTAACATACAAAATACTCCCACCATTGAATGATTAAAATAACAAATACTTATTTAATAAAAATGCAATATTGTTTTTTACATATCTTTTCTTTAAGTTTTTATATATACAAGAACCCAGTTTTCAGTTCGCCCCAAGTTTGCATGAACTATAAACAAATCACAAGGCCAAAGGCTTCAAAAAGTTGGAATTTGGCTGCAGAAAGAAATATTTATGCATGGCCAGTTTTATATTGCATGCTCAAGAGTAAGAAATCCCAAGAATTTATTCTTTACATTTGAAAAGGAAAAGAAGAAATTTTCTTAAAAAATATCGTTTACCATGAAGTCCTATAAAATTAAATTAAATTAATTATTAAACCACAAAGTAGGGCTTTTGTCAAATTTAATTTAATTTGCAAGATTAAAACAAAATGTAAAGATTGTAAATCGCAACAAAAAAATGTTAGTAAAAATATTCTACTACACTAAATTTAAAATATATTTTGAGAGAAAAACTAGTGAAAAAATAAGAAAATTCTTACATCCTAAACAGAAGAGGAAGCTAGAATAAAAAGGTAGGTTGGAAAATTAATTCAAAATTCATTTATTTTCAGAAGAAATAAAAGGACAGAGAAAAGGCTGGAAAAAATGAAAGACAAATATGGGCTCTGGAACAACAGTGGAATAATGAGTAGAAAAAAAATCAAAAATTAAAACTAAAAATAGTGAGTTCTGTTGATTCTGAACATGAAAGTAACTGCATAAAAATCACAGGACTGAAAAGGCAAAAAGGGACTGAATATAAAACTGTGAGGGATTTTGTTTTAAATCAACTGCAAAGAATTAAAAACATAAACATTATTTGACTATAAAATTATGCGAACTATTGCAGCTCTACTTAAAATTTTCACCTGTGATTTTGATTTTTTTGACTCTTTTTTTGGGTGGCACTGATTTTAGAAGGTACTGGCATTGTAGCTATTTCAAGGATTCTAGTTGGCACTTTGGATTTTCAATTAAAGATGTCCACAGATCAATATCTGATTATTTCTTCTTGTTATGATTCCTTTCTTCCCCTGTGGCGAGATACTTTTATAACAGAATCTGTCTGGCATCACACTTGAAATGTATTGGTGAATATACTTACAGATTTATGCTAGTATGTCTGTGATATTTTGTTGAACTTTCTAGTCTGGGTTGTTTTATTCACATCAGAAATTAATGCTGGAAGAAACTCTTGTTTTACTGCAAGACAAAACACCTGTCTTTTGAGAAAAGAAGCCACTGTCATGAAATTAGTTATTAAGTGGATATATACATATACTGTAGGACCTCACTATCAACAGAATTTCAGCAAAACTTTCATGTAGAGGAGTAAATAATTATAATGACCCTAACGTTTACATATACAAAAATACTCATAAAAATGAGAATCAGCAAGATGTGGAAACAACAAAACATATTATTTATTATCTGGTTGTTATGTGGTGTTGGAAACACAAAAGAGAGTAAAATTGTGAGTTTGCGGTCA